GTCTGATCCCATGAGCTAATTAGGGAGGACTTCACAGCCTTGGACCCGGCACGCCTGTCGGTGGTTATCTCATTTAACTCGTGATGCTTGTTATAGGAATAACCACAATCAAGTGTAACTTATGATCTGTTCAATTTGTGTAAATAAATGATTGCATAGTCTTTAATGAATCAGCTTGAACTCRTCTGAACATTCACTTATTGTCTCACTTTCACTTCGCACAGTCAAGATATTAACAAGAAATGAGAAATAYCTTGGTAAAAATTTTCCTCATAACCTTGTGTATGAGAGATGTGGGAGAAGCTTAATTCACCTTAAGCTCACTCTTACACTCCAGATGGCTAATATGCAACACTTAGTACTTGGCTAGTTAACAAGCCATTATTAGGGGCCTTATTTTTCAGCTGTCATTTATGATTCTATATTTACACATAAACTGTGAACTGTGCATGTTCTTTAAAAAGAAGCACACAGATCACAAAGTTTTCATGATTTGAGTTTACAGTTACTTTAATTTATAAAGCAGCTTCTGCCTTATCCTTTCTCTGTTTCTTTGATGGTCATAAAATCATTTGAGTGTCTTTGTTTAAGTGAATTTACTGTAGAGCCTGTGCACTTCACCTTKTGTTTTACACCTTCTATAAAATTCTCCATTGATAGTGGTGTTGGTGGGCCAGGAAGTGGATATGAGGTGTTGAGCTTTCTGCAACAGGAAGCCCAAACTGTGATCTGCTTAGACTGCACTTTAACTCTTGGCACAATGTTTACATCTAAAGCTGAAAATYGTGGACATGTTATTCTAAAGAAGAGTGTAAAATCAAAATTTCTATACAACCACAAATATTATATTTTGCAATGAATGCRTGTAAGGAAAAGTAAATCAAAGAAAAAAAAAACAACTTGTGCTAAAGTGTATGTCAGTGATTAATGTTCATAATATTGCCTTACAAATATCAGTAAAGCCCTATTGATGTTTGTATAAAACTATAGGAGTTTTCCGTTTTTCAATTTGTTTGCTAAACATAAAAAATAAACATCATTTTACTTCAGATTTCAGTACATCAAGGGATCAGCAGAGATGTATAGTAATTAAAGGCTTTTACTTTATTTCAGTACTTAAGCTTTTTTTTGGATAATTTGTAATTTTACCAAGCATTATTTTTAATTCACAACTTTTACTTGAATTTTGTTACATCCATAAACACCTAAAGCAATTACTTTTACTTATTTGCTTTAAAATTGAGCACATTGTTACAAGTTGCAAATTTTTAATATGACTGAACTCATCATGAAGAGTTGTATGTGCACTCTAAAAAGTCCGGTTAAGTAAATTCAACACTTCATTTCTCTGTGTGTAAAATTACCTTCGCTTTCTCGATTATTGTGAGCAGTTTTAATGTTTATATTAAAATACTTTTTGTGTCAGTGAAATTCAACTTTACCAAAGTCATTTGATTTAAATGTATTTTTACTTGTACTTAGTTATTTCTTTCAAATACTGGAAATATGTCAGGGATCAGAAGAAATGAGGAATGCACATGAAAAACAATTACATAGTTTTATGGTGTCTTGTGAAAATACCTACTAATTTAACCAGTCATGCATGATTTAGATCTGAGGAAAGTAACTGGGGTACTTGGGAAAAACTTCACATTTAAAGTTTGCTCAGAAATGTAATATTAAATATTTGAACTCAGTACCATAACTTGACCTATATTTTATTTTTTTTTCTATGCAATCACCTACAAAGTAACGGTGTTAAAGGTGCAAATATGTTCACTTAGTCAGAGATTATTTTGTGTAAGAAAAAAAAAAAACACAAAGCTTTGCATTTAACACCTAAAAGTCTGATTGTTAATCTTGGCATGTAAGTACTCCATATAGATWAGCAGGGTTATTGTTGGAATGCAATTTATTTTGTTTGATGTTTGAGAAACATTTTTTATGGTTGTATGGTCTTTTCCTGCCTCTTCTTCCATCTTGATAAACTCTTGCAATATTYATGTGCTTACTTAAGAATGTATTATTCTTTCCAAACAGATATTACTTGGACAGCAAAGAGGATGGAGAAAGATATTTCAGAATTGATGAAATCAGTGGAGTTATACGTACAACACAGTCTCTGGACAGAGAAGACGTTGCATGGCACAATGTCACTGTGATGGCCTCGGAGGTTGGTAGGTACACATGTGCATGAGTGAACTCAATCTATCAGTTTATTAACGAACATTCTGATAAAGCTTTAGAATTATTATGACTGAGTTAAGTTGTGCACTGAATTTGTTTCTTAAGAACTAAACTATTTCAATATTTTTTTTATTTTTTATTTTTTCAACAATAATGACCGAGCATTCCGTGAAGGACTTGCCCGCTGCTTTTTATGCACGTTTYATGTTATTTTAAACTAAAATCATCTTATGTTGAGAAATGATGGAGCCATTATGGTCAAAACTTGAGCAAAAAATCCTTGGGCACAGTCTCAGACAWCATTCTATGTCTCACATCTCGCACAAATTAGCACAAAATATTATAAATCGGTATATATGTTGTAAATTACTCCCGGATACTACCATAACAGTTAACTCGGTATATGTAAAATTCAGTGGTACACCTAAGTTTGTGTTGATTAAGGTAACAATGATGGCAGCCATCTGGGTTGATTTGGTTTGGAAATGGGGTTAGCTTCAAAAGTTACTCAGTTGCAGGTGCACATTYAATTATTACCTTTTAAATGTTTCAATAAAATCCATCCAGTGGATCCAGTTAATGTCAAMGTTTTAATCAAAGATTTRGCACAATGTGTGGCCCTCAAAATATGTGCTGGGGATTATGGTTCAATGATTACTTTCTAATTCAGTCTTAGTAGTAACATGAAGCGGCATGTTTGTTTTGAAGCCCTGTATATTTTACCCTGCACAYTGATCTGAGCAATTTTATAGTTTTTTACAAGATGCAAACTATGTAAAGCTTATTATACTGAATTGTGGTGAAAACATCAATTTCTAGCTCAAAGTGGAAGCTATAAATTTGATTTTTTTAATCTTAACACGCTGTGTTTGACCTCAAGCTAAAAGACAATGTAGATCAGAGCTCCATTAAAATCATCAATAAATTTTGTGCCACGGCAGCAGGATTTCAACATAAACAATTAAAACATATAAGGCATATGGTCCAGGTCTTTTTTTTTTCCTGGCTCCCACTAGATAACAAGACACCCTGAGGGGATCGTATCGTCAGAGGGCAGCCTGGGTTCAAATTCATAGAGAGTAACACTGGAGTCAAAATCAATATCAATAAAAGAAGGGTTCCATAAAAAGCAATGAGAACATGAATCAGCACCACACATACTCCCTTTTCCTACCGAATAAAATCTATAGCACATTGTAGGCACAGAACAGTAGATGTTAAGCATGTTATTTAAAGACACTTTAACTGTATAAGAGAACTGAATACCATTCATTTCTTGATATCTTTTTAGGTCTTACTGAGGTTAAAACATAGAATAGAATATTACAGTCTGCCTAGAATTGACTTGTCTGGTTGTATCAGAACTGTGCCTAACTTGTTGCATTTTATGTGCTTTTAATACATTTTTGAACAATAGAAAGGTTTGAATTGTGATCATTTTGTCTTCTAAACAGCAGGTGTTGCTACAGAAATACTGAGCAGTGTATTACATGGAATAAGTCTTATAGGAAACATGTACATCTTCAGACACATTTGTAACAGCAGAAATTTAATAGCTGATAAAGTTATGCTGTTAAGATCAGCAAGTATAAACTTTGCTGAAGAAGTTTGATTAAAGATAATCAAAGCAATACAGTAGCTAGTTTTATTCCCACCCAACGCATTGTAAAACATATACATACATATACAATACAATAACAAATGTGTTGAAAGAAACAACATCATGAAAAATTACAAGCATTTGCAACACTTCGATGGTTAACGGAACAATGTTGAAGAATATATTAATTTATATGTCCAGCTGTTCAATGTTTAAACGGGGTAGGGAACAGTGTGTCTCATACCTCTAATATCTATTCAATTAATTGTAAAATTACCAATTTAAAGGWAACAGTAGTTGGGTTTTCATTTGCATGATGATCACAGTGTTTTTAAATTGGATTGAGGGTATTTCCTCATGTCTATAAAATCAAATCAGTCTCAATTGTTTCAATGTATTTCCCTTCACTGAAAGTTAATTAAATCAATATTGGATCTCTCCTGCCAATTGGCAGGGATCTGAATGCTAATGTTCCTTGTTTCTTCACCTCTTTTTAGTATTCATCTATGCAGTGCATGCCAAGACACTGGAAAGGCAAAGAATTATTTTTACCACTTTGAAAAGCCAAAGATTTACAGTGTCATAGAGAAAGGCAAAGCGCAACACAATACAGCCATTGTGCTGAGAATTGAAAGAAAATGTGCAGAGAGATGATGTGACTTAGAAAATAGAAGGTTGAAATTTAGCTCCTTTCTTTTAATTTGATCTCATTGGTACTGAAATTTAAATGCATGAAAGACAGTAAACACTGTATATGCAAATTTCAAGTCTCCATTTGACACTGGAAAGAAAATAAAACATACTTTCAAACATACAGTATCTACACACATACACTCATTCATGAGTCGTGCATCTGCAAGATAAATGTAGGTCTATTTATATATATAGAGCATGTGCACCTGCATATCTTTTTGTGTATTCACTAATGGTTTTGCTGAGCAAACATGCACCCCCCCCCACCCCCCACACCCATTTTTGTTCTGCTACAGACTTAGACTGCAATTCATTATCACTCCTGGAAGCCACCCAGGTAAACCTCTGTCTRGGACTCAGGTTCCACAGGGGTTGGCAGCCAGCTACCTCACTCAAAGGCCCTTTTTTTGTTGAGCCACAGATAAATTCTGCATCCTCCCAGTTGTTTTCAAATGTCATGAAAGGCCTTTCCAGTCTGCCAGTATTGAATGGCATTCTATGCATGAAACGATTTCCCCAAATAGTCAAAAGTCTTTTTGACTGGCATGTTCGCAGACAGTTTTTTTTTAATTCATAAAACTTAATATATGTAACACATTCTCACTCCCAACTCAAAAAAAATACTGAATTGTCATGTTGATATCATTACCCACCGCATATCATATGTTCACAGCAAAAACATGGCAACTACACCAGCATACTTGCCAGGATGAATATTTAATGCTGTTGAGAAGTTAAGTTTCGAAAAAAAAAGGTAATTTTCTAATGCATCACAGGTAGAGAAACAGATGAACAGATGCATCTCAAATGAAAGTCACAGCTCTATGTAGAAAACTTGTTTCCTCTTTACGGATATTACTGTGCGGAAAAAAAAAAAAACAAGAAGAAAATAATTTTATGTGATTTTAATTTAGCAATATATAGTGTGGCATTTTCTGCAAGCTCTCTAGAATGTTTGATTTTAAATTAAAAGCTTTATTTGGCTTTTTTGGTTTATGTATTTTTTAATGTATTTTTTTTTCCAGACAACCCCAGCCTTCTTAGACAAGTTCCGGTTACCGTCCAGGTTCTGGACATGAATGACAATCCACCCGAAGTAGCAACCAACGAAGAAGTTATTGTCTGTGAGAACTCAAGGCCCGACCAGGTGATTCAGCTGCAGAACTGCTATACATGCATTTCTGCTTCCCATTTAATCTGTATCCACACACATTCAAAACTTGCTTGACCTAAAAGACTACTCAAAAAAAAAAAGTTAAAAATACGGATAGCTGCACATCAACCACAGTCATTTCCCTGGCTGCTTGCTCTCTGCGCTTAACTCTTGTTTCCCTCAGCATTCTGTTGCTCAACGAGAGCAGAACTGTAACGACTCCGACGGAGCTGGAGAGAGCAGCTTAATCATTTCTTATTCAAAACGAGTATCTCAGCAGCAAACCATGACAGCTCTAAATCGAAGCTCATTCCAATTTGCTCTCAGTAGTTTTTGATTCATTCAAATTAAGAAGGTTTTTGAGATATAGCGCAATCAGCAGCAAGGAAATGACTGAAAGGGTGGTTCTGCAAAGGATGATGGAATAAAAACTGGAAAGACCCAACTAGATGTATTTTTAATAGTTCAAAGCCAGTAGACGAAAAGTTTAATAGAAGTTTGTATTAAATTTGAATTACAGTTAAATTGTAAGCTAAAGGTTCTGGGCCCAGGGGATTAAATAAGAATTATAATTTCTTGTCGACAGTTGAACCCTACCACTCAGCAGACAATAAGTGAAAAGGCACATAGCATTAATACTTTTTCAGGGTATATTTGTTATACCAAAGTGGCAGGCCTATTTTTAAAGTTGTCAAATTATTTAGTTATTAGAATTCAGCAAAACACCTAGTTTTAGTAATAAACTAATATGTTTAATATTTATATTAAACAGTCAGCTTATGTATATTTTTTACATAAATTATTCAAATAACCTAATTATGTAAAAAGTTTTAGAATGCTTGTGAATTTTATGTGATTCCATCGTTCATCTTTTAGTTTTACTTTAAGACCACAGCTTTGTGTAGTAATGCATAATCTAACACCCCTAATGTATTTGACGTGAAAAGTGCTTTAACAAGTACTGCATGTTGTAGTAGTTTTGTAACAGTAGGTAGAATCTGATTTATTTTTTTAAAAATCACTGTAACTCAACAGCTGTAACAAAGAAAGCACAAGTACTGGTGTTGACTCATTTGTAAAATAATATTTTCAGTATATTTGATTGAGAAATGAAATCACTGAATGTCAGCAGAGATTCAGAGTCAAGTTGAAGATGCCTGCCTGAGAAGATGCCAATTTGTTTTCTGAGAGTATCTTTTGTTTTGATCATAATGTCTATCTTCAATGCTTTTTCCTCTTTTCCGCGTTTTCTATTTGAATTTGTTCACTATGTAAGCTTGTTGATAGAGAAATCTGCTGGATAGAGAAAACTTTTAGCTAGTCTACACACCATCTGCTTAGAAGTGCAAACTTTGCAATGTTTACCTTTTTTCATAATTATTTTAATATGTGAACGATAGATTAGCAGAAGCTTATTTACCTGAGTCAATGWAGTGACTAACTACATGCCTTCAGACTGAAACACGGCAGCAGAGTCACTACATGTAAGTGTAAAAGAAACAAAGAAAGTTCATCTCTTTTATGGAAAAAATAAAATAAATAAAAAATAGATATACAGTAAGCATAATGTACAAATAATCAGGACATGCACACTAAAACACACCCTTCTGGTTGATTACCACTTTTTTAGAAGAAGAAGAAACAGGAACTGTCCTGGAGGTTCAATGTACAGATAAAGGACAATATTTTAAATCCTTTCAAAATTAGTTTAGATGTACTATTTTTCTCAAACAGTATGATTAAAAAATTCCTCAAAAATAAACTCGTCTCTGTTTGGAATTCAGAAAAAAGCATCAATCCTGGAATGGTGATGTAGATAAAGAGAGTTTTGTTTTGTTGAAGTCAAAATTTATTCTTTGTCCCTCAACCAACAGGTGATCCAGACCGTCACAGCAGTGGATAAGGATGACTTTGCCAATGGACAGCGGTTTTCTTTTGCTTTGCCCAGCCAGCTACCAGTTAATCCCAACTTCACCCTAAAAGACAATGGAGGTAATTAAAGTGATCCAACATGTTTGTGTTTTGCACTACACTCACAGAGGGTTCCACATGGCCCACATTACCAAGCTACTATGAGTTGTCCTAATTTCCCCATTCCTTTGAAGAGCAATAACATTGTTATCACATCATCTGGGTGTGGTAAGCTTCTGAAGATGCAGATACCGCTGGGCTCTGCTTTGATTCCGCTCTGCAATAAACATAAGTGTCAGAGAGCTTTGGCGCGTTTGCGCTTTTTGTTGTCAAATGGATTATCCACTCAGCCGCTCCCACTCTCCGCCTCCTTTGTATTATATCGGGTCTGCCTATGGCCGGCAGTGAGCGTTGCCATGGCAACAATTTCAGTGTCAGGTGAATACCTAGCCCTGGGGTGGTCTGCAATCACAGGGCTTTTATAAGCTCTCAGCCAGAAGATCTTGCAGTCACCCGCTGAGGAAGAAGAGTTCGCAGTGCTCTGGATACCAGGGAGCCACATAAAAACAGAAATGAAGGTCACGTGAGAGAAAAAATAAAATAAAATAAAATAAAACTGCTGTGATAGAAGATATTTCTTCATAGATTAAATTACGTCCCATTATAGGCTTTTGCTTGCATGCTTTTATTACTGTGAGATGCTGAAACACGTTTTTTCTGCATTCATGTGGAGCACTGAGAGACACCCCTCACCTTGTGTCTACCCACAACTCGTAAAGATCAGAGAAATAAAAGCAAGCCAAGAACTGACTGCAACACTGCTCCAGGGAACACTACTCACCTTTAAGGCAGAAGACTACTTTTAAAAGACAAAACATATGTGGGTAAATGGGCCCCAGTTTTGCCCATAATAACCTTAGGCAAAGCTGTAGTCAACTAATTAACCAACAATACGAAATGTTTTCCCCGTACTGCAGAAGATGGCGGCGGTGGCAGCAGATATATGTAGCTGTGCAGTATCACTGCAGGAAAATACATCCCATTTGGCTTTACAGGCATCTGCAGGTCTGTTTTTTGACCAAATTTACCTCAGCTTAAGTGTTGCTGTTACTCTGTATGCTACATAAACGGAAGATCAAAGACGCAAATGACGGACATCATTTTCGAAAAACAACAGCACACAAGCATCCTATGGCGTGTATACAAGCATCGAACATAAGTCATCCTAACTTTGGTAAATATCATCTACCTTGCCGGTTGGGCTGGTTTCTCCGGCTTGCTGCTGTTGCGGCGTGTCTTGGTGGAGTG